TACCAATTTGCTTGCCCAAACTTTGGAATCTTCACTTCCTATCAATGCAAGTAGGCGGAAAATTAATAAGTTCTTAACTGTTAATATAGGTAACTGAACGCACAATTATTATGTTGCGCCATTGCTACTTGTACCCCACCATATCATACAGGTTCGCTATCTGTTTTATCTTGCCGGCGCTGGCACATTCTGCGACAGTTTGCAAATGCGGGTAGGTCAAACAACGGTTGGATGGGATGAAAAAGGCATTGCAGTATATGACAGTTTTTTATGTTGAAGTAACGAGGGTACTAGAAAGGCCCGATGTAGAGAACATTAACGTGGAGGTGCGCATGTCTGCACTGGCAAGACAGGATAGGAATATCCCTTTTGATCATTTTCTAGTCCAAGTTACGCCGTCAACGCTTTGTAACAGCATCACGCCTCTGCAGTCGCAACCACTGTCGTCATCACAACATTTGCGCGCACTTCTACTGGTGCGAATAAAAGAGCGTTTGTGATTGGCCCTGTGGGCAAGAACTTGTTTTCGAGAAGCACATTGTTTGATGCTCGAACAAGCACGTCACATGGATCATGTAATACTCACATTCCCAGAGCCAACATGTGCCTCGAAAGAGTCAATCTGGTAAACGCAATTGGTGAGAAATCCGAGCCATATGTAACGTTTCGTTGAATTCGCTGATAATAGCCTCATGTTGTCCTATTTTTTCTTCCAATAGACTGTTTGGGGCTTTTCTAGCATTTATCACCTAAAACTTTGGCATATTAGTGTATTGCAAAGAGTACAGAATATACACATTGGAAAAAGGAAGGCAAATGAAACGTATTACATCAAAAGCGGTAAGCATAGTGTCAAATGAGATTTTATCCGCATAGTCGGCTACTTCAAATCGGAATTCTGAACTTTTCAGAAAGATTTTGAGAAAGCTAGCGTTACTGATCAAATCGTAAGCGTCTGATGTAACAATGCGCGAAAAGCACAAAAGGGCGTGAGACTCCATTTAACGTACTCTCAGTCATATAGTTTTGGCTGGACCCGGACAGCTGTTACTGATAAATTTAAATGTGCCGTTCAAGATGTTCCACATATGTAGATTTAATCAATGAACGTGCTACATTTATCAAGAAACGTTTTTGAGGCAAGGTAAGTTCAGTATCGGTGAGTAGGGTGACGTATCACAAAATGCTTGGGAATGCTGCCGAAAGCTTAAGAAACGGTAATGTGCACAGACACTGCGTCGAATTTTAGATGCTTTCAGTTGTGCAGAAAAGGCAGTGAGCTTGCAGTGGTTTTGAGCGAAGGTGAAAAGTGAAAAATTTGTTGACAAAAAGATTTATCAGAAGTGAAAACCCGATCAGACAAGAAGAAACGGTGAATGAGATATTCCGGCTAATTAAAGCATGACTATGATAATTCGATCTGGAATTAATCCTATAAACATCACAAAAAGCTATTTTCTGACTTCCGCGAGGTTGTTAGGTCTGGTTAGCAAGATTTCCAAATTTAACTATAAATCATATTTTGGAGTGAAGCAGCAAGTGCCGCCAAGTACATCCATTGGTGTTTTTCAGGGACAGGCTACTGCCTGTCCTTCCAAAAAAATGACATTTTTGACATGATTCGTAGACATATTGGATGTCATAACCGACCCACAAAGAACAAGCGTCCCTAATATCCTCCAAACTCCAAGACTGAGTTGTGAGCTATGAAAGGAGACTTTGCAATTTGAGATATGAGTGGTTTTGAACCACAGAATTTCGCTTCCAGAATGGCAGTCGTGTTTCGCACCAGTGTTTTTAAGTGTTTGTCGTATGTGCACTGGACTATTAACGACAACCTTGGTAGGTACGCTATGATCGATGTGTTTCAAGCAATTTTAGCTGTTGAATAAAAAGAATTGCCTTGAAGCCGAATTTTATCTGATTCCCTACTAACGTTTATTTCGTTCTTCGAACGCATTTTGAAGGCAGTTTTCGGGAAAAGCTGACCCACGCCCGATATTGAACTGTTTCAACACTCGCCCAACAGTGTCAATGTTCTAAGGGTTGGTTATACTGGTGTCGCAGACCTACCCTTAGATTTGGTAACAACTGTTTTCCATTTCAACTAACCCTTAACGAGTGTCGGACGAACCCACTGCAAAGTGACAACAGATTCTAACTTGCATGTGCTTGCAGGTTCTCATTGCCCCAAGTTCATTTTGAGATTTGGGACACGAGCCCTATTCCGACCCGTGCTGTTCCGTGCGGGATCGTGCAGTGTAAGCTTGTGATATGTCAACTTCGCACGTGACGAATATCATGTGCCATCAACGTGCCCATAATCACCGCAATTCTGGGAGCACGTCACTAGCAGAGGACCATACGAGTCATTCAGAGACATCAATGATGCGCCTTCGCTAAGGATAAACGCATGCACAACGTTTAACGGTGCGTGGTAGCAGACATGTCTATATTGACGTATGTTAAGAGATTATTATTTCGTATGCTGAGAGCTTGTTCGGAAATATCACGGGCCGCCTATTCCTATTGGCGAGCTGATCAAAAAAGCCCATGTCACACAGCGTCTGACGATTGTTTTTGTAATTGGTGAAATGGTATTGCCCTTTCTGGAGACATTTCTTCCTCCCCGAAAGTCGTATGATTCCTGATGGAGTCGTTCTCTGACCGGCCAGCTGCGAACTCGCCACTCCCCCGATGAAGCTGCATCCGCCTCACTTGCGCCGGGAGGCGTCATGGGCCTATGCTTCCATATCCGACTCTATTGCTGCTTTGTTTTCATCCAGGGAGACGGTATACGTGTTGAGTTGCTCCTTGGTGACGCAGTCGTCGCCGTCGGTGAAAATGGCACTGAACGCCGCCGTCAGAGACTGGTGCGTGTGTCCAAGTACTCACTCGGTAGTGGGATTAGCCATGGCGGGCACGACCACGCACAGGACCAGGAGGCCAAGACGGAACATAGCGACAAAAGTTTCTCACGTTGGCTGCTTGCAAAGCAGCTACGCAATTCACACTCGAAGTATCACATTTGTACAACGTGCGGTCACAAAAGACGGTGCCATATGTGACACGGCGATGATATTATGTGTTCCTTGTTTTGTCTTCGGATACATGGTGTTTTAAGAGTTAAATTGGCAATTAGTTATTTGAAGCTTTAGCTGCAGCCAGTTAGCAAAACACGCTGTGTCATGATGACCCATAGAGCACCGCTTACTGCAGGCAACATGCTCTGCTTTATGCATAGCACCGTGCTGATAGCTTTATTAAGACAAATATTGAATGAGCAAATTACGTTGAACTAAGATCAGACATGAAGGTCGGGCCAAGGATTCTAAGCAAAAGGTCACGTGCACATTTAAGGTCAGTGACCTTGTTTGACCTTTTGAAGATCATGGTGACCAAAATCATACAAGACTACTCTGAGTTATGCATTTTGGTGATCAACAAAAATCACGCTAGGCGGTGTGTTTCTAAAAACCAAATTGTGACCTGGGTTTTATTACGTCTTCCTGCTTTTAATAAATTCGAAATGAGTACGAGCAACTATCCCATACAGCAAGCCTTAGAGTAATAAAACAGATTGGTTTTGACATCTTTGCGCCCGTGTAGCTTATAAACTAGACAAGTTTTATTCTTTTTTTAGAGGCGTTTCATAAGCAAGGGGCAGGGCTGTGTACTGCACAGAGTGATCTTTCAGATTGCTTTTTCAGTTCAAACCCCACAGAAATGTGGAGCCCTCTTCAAATCCGCCATTGTAGATAGCGCTTGGTGCAGTGTCATTCAGCGTCGTCTACTCATACACCCGTGGCGGTAATTCCACATGACCGCGATGCGTTGCAACGCATGGCTTCTATCTTAGTCTGGTTGCGACGCTCCTTTTCTAGGGGATAGGGATCATTTGGGTACACGCGAAGTGATCAGTTGGAGATATCCGACGCGACACATCACGTGTTTTCCCGACTTATACCTGCGTGGTTTTTATGTAAGACGTATGAAATGCGTGTAATACGAGACGGATGTCTGAAACGCACGCGTGGCCATCATAAAACTCATCTTGAGACCGTCCGCCCACCAAAACATCACCTCATCTTATAAGGTAGCCGAAACAAAAAAACAAAACAAGTAAGTTCTTGACAGGTACGGGAAGCACTCAGCGAGGCGCGTCTCGCATGCTGAAATAGTCGTTTTACGAGAGCACCCAAGATCACCATACATTTTCAGCTAGTTTCTGCTGAAGTTCGCCTCAAACAATCCCTCACTCCGCACTTCGACAACTGCAAACAGCGGTGAACTTCTTTGCAGATCAGCACGTTTGCAGCGCAAAATTACAATGCTGCTGCTAAGGGACATCTTCATCCCGTCTCTAGTCCGCAACAACGACAACTTGCGCGCAGGTGCAGTTGATCCCAAACAAAGGTCGGGTGTCCGTCAAGTTGTAAGCTGGAGCGTATGATGACCCTGGCTTTTCAGCTGTTCGTAAATTTGCGCCTCTTAGTGCCAAGACAAACCCATTAACCGAAGTAGGGGAGAGACAGGTGGTACCTAATACTGACATTGCCATATTTCTGTAACTTTTGCTGGCCCTCCATATTTAGGAAGACTCGGCAAAGGGGCAATAGGAGCAGGACGTATGGGCCATGGGCCCAACCAATCGAGCGTAGAGATGGGAACAAGGGGACCGGAGGACTTTTGAAGGAGGACTGCTGACTTTCCTAACCACTATGAAAGTTTTTTCGTGAAATGTTCTCTCATGTTTCGGGTTCAAGTTCCAGTCCAGCGGCAACGTCTTCCAATGAGAGCAGCTTCCCGTCGGAGTCCAGCTTGTAACTCTGAACCGTCAGGTACTCTGGCAGTGGTGTGTCTGTGCTCTGCTCATCGGCATTGCGGCGGTCGTCTAGCTCTTGCCTCCTGATCGCCCGTCGCGGATATGCTAGGGCCCCACCAGGAGGGTCCGTTATGGTCGATATATCGTTGGCGGCTGACATAGTGCTGCTGACTGCTTACATGTATTGGGCGTCTGCTCACATAAAAACCGGCTTAACAACGCTCAGTTCATACGACGCACCGCGCTAGAAATCTGCTGAAAACACGGAGGTGTGGCTGTGCGGTTGCACTGATGAACAGTACAGGCAACTAAAGGCAACATCTATGATGGCGCCGTGATGACCGATTGGATCCAGTTCAGTGATGGTCCAAGCGCGATGTTGATAGCCGGAAACTCTTCGCTGCCACAACCGGCTCCAGCAACAACCAACCCCACTGCGTACCACCTCGCGATGTCACCCTCCCCGATAACTTTCATTAACACAGAACCCAGATCGCCGCGATTGATAGCACACAAGAACACCGATGTCGGTTCAAAAAACTTCGTACAAAACGAGCCTGCATCAAAATACCGGATGAATGGTGGGATCTTGGTGTAATTGCTTCTACAATCTCCGAAATCCACCACCCTCACCCTGGCCCATTTCAGAGACATGAACGCTGTGCTTGCGGCATATCTTGTCGCGCCCCAGCCCGCAAAGATGAGGTCATCACCCGCTGGCACAATTGACGTAAGGGATGCATCTGGTAGGCAAATAGGGCTCACAGTGCTGGAGAACGAAATTTTTGACACAGTCTTCAGCAAGGCAATGTCCTGAGCTCTCTTTTCCGGCAGCGAAAACTGGGGATGCCGCGCAACTTTGATGATGTCCAGCTCGAACGGAGGAGCGTTAGGATTGTCGTCAGAGGTGTCCTGCAAGTCGAGGTCACCGAAGCGCACACTCAGCTGGCGGCCATCGCGAGCGCAGGTCGCCCCCGTCAACACCCATCGGTCAGAGATCACGGCGCCCCCGCAGACCACTATATCTCTGCCGCCCTTTTGCCTTTCGGAGATGGCCGCCATCCAGGGAAAGTTGGCGGCGTTCTTGACGAACGAGGCGCCCAGCTGCGCCGGTGGCGAAAAGCTGGTCTTCCCGCAGCCGGCGCCGCGCGGCTCCTGTCCAGGGCAGCAGAACAGCGGTGTGGTGGCCGCATCCAGGCCGCAGAGAGGCCGGTTCAGCGTCACTGACAGGTCCTCCGTCGGCAGAATGTCCGGCAGGTTGCTGTTGGCTGTGGGAACCGCGTCCGCCAGCCACGCCGTCAGCGTCAGCAGGAGCACAGCCCCGAGCTGCGCGCGCACACCGACACCCATTTGTAGGTTGAAACAAACGCCTTCCACGGCCCGATCGCCGCTCCTGCCGCCACCCAACTGATCAGATCAAACAATCTCGTGCACCGCGAGCTAAACCCTGGAAATTCCCGCGCCCGAGTCATGCAGGGGCGCGGAAAGCTTTGCTGTTTGGGGGAGTCAGACAATGCTGTGGACAGCTCCTGAAACATTTACGCAAGATGTGCGGATCAAAAGTGCACGTTAAGAGACTACTAATTCAAACGTAAACAGTTGACGAATTACTCGTATGGTGCGCATGGTGTGAGATGTCTGTTGCATTGCAAAAACACGGTTGGAGAAACCTAGGCTCATGGTAGAGCAACAAGAGGCACTCCATTCCAGGTACATATTCAGAGGTTAAAAAGCATCCACTCATCCACGAGTGTGAAGCCTCATATGAATGGCGGCTCTTCATGAAAAGCGGCAAACACGCTCCTAGTGTTCAAAGTTCTGTTTAGCATATTCTTTCATGAAAAGTCAATTGCGACGAATTTGTGCACATTGCAACATGGAAACAGTAGTTTGAGGAACACTGCACGGCGATCTACGACCGTTGCGGGCGGCGGGCGGCAATCAACAATGCCGTGGAATGCACCGCCTGGCGGCACTGTTACATTGGCCAAGTCATGTATCATATATACATATATATATATATATATATATATATATATATATATATATATATATATATATATATATGCGTGTGTGTGTGTGTGTGTCTATGTATATGTGTTTGTGTGTGTGTGTGTGTGTGTGTGTGTGTGTGTGTGTCTATGTATATGTGTTTGTGTGTGTGTGTGTGTGTGTGTGTGTGTGTGTGTGTGTGTGTGTGTGTGTGTGTGTGTGTGTGTGTGTGTGTGTGTGTGTGTGTGTGTGTGTGTGTGTGTGTGTGTGTGTGTGTGTGTGTGTGTGTGTGTGTGTGTGTGATCAAAACAACAAAAAAGAATATACCCGACTTTACCCAGCAGTCAACGATGAAAACACCTGTTTAAATGTTGTGTCCCCACAGGGCATGCTCTCGTAGATGTGACGCAAAGTAAAAAAGAGCGCTCTTCTGGCAAATCCGATTTCTGACGCGCCATAATGGGGTCAATTGTTTTTTTTCTTCTGTGACCTAAAACATGCAAGGTAGTATCAATCGTACACCCCGTTGAGACTAATCCATTGGTGTTTTTTGTTAAGCTCTATCTTCATCAGTTTAGCAACGCCTGGGGTTGATGGGGCTCGCATTCCCCCCCCCCCCCCCCCCCCACTGCTGTTAGTCCGCGCTATGAAAAACCGTGTGTCAGAGCGACGGTTAAGGAGGCAAATCAGACCATTTGCGATTTGTGGGAAACTGGGGTAAGAGTTGTTTACCTCTGTAAACACCATATACAGTGAATCCCAAAGGGAACCGTAACTCGTTGAGACTCTACGCCATAGGCTGCAATGATCACTAGAGTTTGACCTAACGAGGGACCCATGATGGCTGGCAGGGTGTGCGGTCGCGCGCCCACGCGCTACCACTCTATTCCGGTGATCTGGTACGGATCGGGCGTATTTTCGTACATACTGTTTACTTCGCCTTGCTCTTTGTTTGATGTAGAAGGGTAAAGCTAAACTTCACTGCCCAGTAAACACGGCGGCTAGCTGGAGAGGGCTGGCCCGGCGCGCAGAGCCGGGCACGGTCGGTAGCGGGGTGTCGGTGTGCGGTGTGCGGTACGCGGTGTGCGGCTGCAAACCAGCGCTGCAGGCGGCGGGCATCTCGGCCCGGCCAACTGACCTAGCGCCGGTGGATGGATCACAGACGCAGACCAGCGGGATGTAAACGGGCCGTACCAGTCTGTTATATATTTGGCACTGGCACAGTGCGTGCAGCTGCTCAGTAACATCCAGGAACGCAGCGAGAACCTTGCCAAGGTGGTTTCGGAGGCACAAGCGCGGAAACAGATGGAGAGAGGGGGCAGGAGGGAGGAGCGTTTACCCCGCACAAAATGTTGGACGTCAGTGAGTGACAATCTAGGCGTGATTAAGGTTATGCTTTTCCTGTACAGCACTGGGCCAACTTCGCGAACATTCTCAGAAAAATGCAATAAGGCCGGATTTCTGTTTACAAAACACTATTCAGCCTTCAACTGTTACTGCATACTAGCATTTTCCCTCATGCGAATGTCGTCTGCTTCAGTGAGTTCCAAGTCCCTGCGGCTCAGCAAAAGTTGGTTGCTTTGCAGGTATTCGTCGAACTGACTCCTCGGCGACGATGAATAGTCACTGCACTATTTTGTGTATCTTTGAGCTTATTATTCTTCATGATCATGCTCAGCAAGTGCACCACGTGGAAGAGGTGTACAGAAGTATAGCGCACCACGATGCATGGGTGTCTGTTCTTATCAATCACCCACGGTACGAAACAGAAATCCGCCAAGAAGAGACCATTCGACATACACTCGTCAGGTTAGCAACAGGTTCGAACTCATGTTCAGATAGACGTTCTCAACTTTGGCCAACTCTCGGCCCCGTACTAGGTCTTGCCCGCGTTAGTTATTTTGCTCGTTGTGCTGAGGTCAATATCGATTTGTGCACACGCCTGCGAGAATCGAAGGAGACCGTTTTCAACCGTGACCTTAGACCCGCTACAGCTCAAAATCGACTAGTTGGTCAGATCTCCGCGCGATGGCAATGTGTGTATAATTAATGTGCAATATGCAATCTCCGTGGCAATGGTGCAGCACATAATAATCTGTTTGACGGGAAAACAAAATAGTTTCCTACTGCCCCAGTGGAATGTCTTAATTGTACGGTGTTTATCTGTCATATTCATTAGCTAAGCCTGCATCAGCTGCCAAGTTTATAGGTTCACATCTGATTCTCATCCATATGTTTTCCAGTTGGGCTACTTACATAATCAACTGCTGTCAGTTTGAAAGATATGGAAAGGAAACCAAAGGTTATACGAGGCGCTCATTTTTCCTTTCAGTCCAAGGTAGTCCAAGGGCGAGGATGTCCCCCTGCACCCTGCTCCCCATTCTGGATCTGCACATGGAAATATGTCATTGAAATGTTTATGGTAAACCGGTTACGTCTCCGATTAACGCTTAACTTCATACCATGACAAACTATTCGTGAGCATTCGGTAAAGAGCTCGTGGGCCGAAAAGATGAACATGATCAATGAAACCTGCGATTAGCTCGAGGAGTAAAAGATGGCAATGCAATGACATACCATTTATTTCGTGACATATCAATGGTCATTGTCGGTCATTTAGACCCAAACAGGCACTGCAGTATCTGTGATTGGCACTCAAACAGGCACTGCAATGCGTGCCGTTGAGACCCAAAAACAGGCACTGCAGTGTTTGTAATTAAGACCCAACAGGCATTGCAGTGTGTGCTATTGAGACCCAAACAGGCACTGCAGCGTGTGCCACTGAGACCGAAACAGGCACTGCAGCGTGTGCCACTGAGACCGAAACAGGCACTGCGGAGGTGGGGAATCATAGTGTCTGACATGAAAACAACACGTGGCCACTGCTGTAATAACGCAGAGTTACTGCGCGGGCTGTTTCGTAGATAATGTGTCAAGTATTCGAGGCCTGTTAGATCACGATTAGCTTCAATATTCAGGCGAATGTGGGTTCTGTTAGCCTTTGTACTAGTGAAAGAGCACGGCAAAGCTCTGGGCACATGGACGCTATAGCACACACGTTACGGAAGGATGCAGACGAGGTAACAGTATCACGGATGGAGCACTTGTTTCAGCTATCGTCCGCCTCTGGCGTGTCAGTACCTGGCTGGCCGTTGCGACCAGTTATCTCGTCACTGTTCGCGGTCAGGTTTTCTGAGCGAGGGCATTCTAGGAAATGGGCCACAAGACCGGCTCTTGACGCTTGGGGAAAAGCCCGTCTTATTTTCCAAATTACCCGAAGCTCCACGAATGATTGCAGAGGATGCGCACGCTTCAAATCATCTGAAAACTAAAAGAACACCTACAACAAACAACTATGAACAAAAGCAAACAACCTCAATTGCAATAACAGCAAAGACAAGCAAATGCTCATCCCGATTAGCGTAGTTGGTAGGGCGCTGTGCCCACAATCGGAAGACCGCGGCTCGAATCCTAGCAATAGTACAGAGAGACCTCGAACATGGCTAAAAGCCAAACATCATGCAGCCCCGCTCAGGACTCGATAACGTCTGACGATGACTGGGAGCTAACTGGCTTAAATATTGTGTACGTACATTCTGACGCACCAGACGAGAAAGACAGCTGGAACAATTCATCCGTGACGATGCCGGGACCCGTGAGGTTTCAGAATGTTTATAACGTCTGATTTCCTCTATCAGGGTAAGTAGATAACTGAATGTGATCGTAATATGGATAGAAAAATAGTATCATACAATTAATGGAAAAACATTACCTTTGAGGAGTAATAGGCCCAGCGTTATTAGTGAGAGCATCTGACATCAAGCGCACGCACTGACATTGATGATAGATATTTTAATAGCACAACGCATCTAAACACCACCATATCCGAAAATAGTGCCGCCAAAATTCGGAAAAAATGGGCGAGACGGGCTTCCCAGGCAGTTTTTCGCTCCCCCCCCCCCCCCCCCCCGCCCCCCTTGCCGCGCCCCTGATCAATGCTGGCGAACGGCCGGCGGCGGCCGGTCCGACGGCTGGCCCAGACCGCCGTGGCCGTCCAGCCGCCTGGCGCCGCCGAGGTCCTGTGCACGCTTGTCAAGCCCGAGGACGAGTCGCGGGCGCAGCAGAGACGTTGAAAAACAAACCGTGCGGCCAGTGTCGGGTGGTGCAGTATTGCAGTGCCCCATCATGCATAAGCAAACCTACCACGGCCAGCGGCTGGCGAGTGGCAAGCGCAGGTCGCGGAATGTGACGTGACATCGCCGGCGGCGGGTGGTGCGACTTTGGGAGAAAAAATCGCAGACAAAATACGTATGCATAAAGTGCGTGTTCATAAAGTGTTCTTAAGCAGCGCTCGAAAAGGATCAGACTCGTTTCACCAATGTATGTGGGCAACAGCCCGGAAGTATTGGTCATATAAGAGAAATTTGCATAGATAACACTACAATGCGTGTGTTCCAGGATAGACCCCAACCAGCATGACGAATGGCACACTCTCAACTCTCAGGTTTCGCCGAAAGCTGGTTTCCGCCTAAAGGCCTAGGGCATTGAACCCACTGTGCAATTTGCAGTTCCACCCAGTGCACCGTTTAAAGGAAATGTTTCACATTTGAGGATTTTGAAGCAAGCATCAGATATGATAAAACAATTTCACCTCGGTATATTTGATACTATTGGTGTAGTTTTAAGTGGAAAGGACTTCTGTAGACAAAACAACTATCTGTCTGCGTAGACAAGGCAGTAGTAATAGCTTTACTCCTCGAAGCAAAACCACAGGAATGAAGACATAGATGGCTTTATATTTCGGTAACATGCCTTTACCGAAACAATAGCAGGAGTTTGTTTTTGCTATTGTTCTTGTTCTGCTATTGTTTCGATAAAAGCGTGTCGCTCAAATAGCACACATTCACACATGATCGATCAGCCACACATTTTGAACAGGTCAGATATATGCGTGCAGTCATTAACAAACACATGAAAACTCTCCCCCCCCCCCCCGCCCCCCTGAAGACTACAGTCCCACCATCCTTAGCCCGTCCCACAGGAACCTACCCCGAGAAACCACGTTGCGGAATGCTTCGAGTGGCCGAGATCCACGGCTAACATAGGGTGTGGGCCGGATGGATGCAAGCCTTTCCATTGCGCGTGCGCACCAGCCAGCTAAAGCACCTGGAACACCTGATTCCCAGCCTTCCATCGCTCGGCGGCCGGCCTCGGCTACCGAGCCAGCGCGGCCGCCGCCTGCCATCTAACGAGAGTTCTCCGAATCAGCTGAACCTTGGTGCTGTTTACAGCCGAAGCCGGTGCCATACACAAATACGGCGTCCGTCTGCCGTTCCAAGCTCCCGCGCCATGTTGACCGAACGGCACGCGAGCGCCGCACCACCACGGCTGAAAATGTTAGTAATTTTTCTGTTGCGTAAGTATTGTCCTCAATACGTCATTGTTTGATTAGGTCATCGTACCTCACATAACATGGATTGAGAGCCAACTGACGTCCGTCGTTTTATCTGGAAATCGTGCTCACGACGCCAGACATGAACGACTCATTTATTTTTATTTATTTATTTAGGAGGCTGACCACAATCCGCGAAGAAATTTACTGAGCCTTAATGACAAACTGAATACCCATCACTGCCGGTAATAAGCATTGGGGCCGGCTTGAAATCAACAGTGTTTAAGTTGTTTTGGTCTCACTAGCAGGATCTTAGCTCGGCTCGTACATTACCTCACGACAGCGACGCGCGCGCGCGCGAGCGACCAGCTTACCACTGCCCCGCGGGTTCGGGCACGAGTCAGCTGGTGATCCGTCAACTGGTCTGACGGGTCACATGACCCGGCGCCGGGAGGCCTATATCACAACAGAAATTGTTACATTGGTGTTATCAATTTTTCTTAATAAAGAGATCTGCACATCATTAGAAGACCTTACTAGCATCGGCGAATGAAACGTCCGTGATGTTCTCGGCATGGCCAAGTGCGCAGCGTCACCCGTGTCGCCATCGCTACCCACATTGTCGCCTCCGGCGTGCACCCTATCGCCATCGCCACCACCAGGTTCCCTCAGGTACCTGTAGTGAAATGAAACGCTGCTTAAAAACGCAAAACAGGGGAACCACAGATGAACATGACTGAAAGCTGCGGATTTATTTTGCACTCACGACTACCATGCAGATGGCAAACGCCAATTACAGGCTCGGAATTTATTGCTGATGTCTAATTAAATTCACACGTCCAGTAAGGAAGTAAGGTGCAGCATGTTTGGAACAACTCACATCGTACTATAAAGATCTTTGAGATACGAGAAAAGTTGCATAGAAAAGTGGGTTATAACCTCTTCCCTATATGCTAAGGCACCGTTGTAAAACAATCATAGCCAGGTGCAGCACATACAAGCAGTGCTCCTGAAGCTGTGTGCACACTGCACGGTACAAGGTTGTGTAGTCTAAACAGCACTCAGCTGCCTGAACAAACGAATGGTTACCCTTTAGCAAGATGCAGGATGGTACGCTTGACTGTTGGTAGGCCGGCCTTTCGCATCACACGTCGCAGGATTATGTACGTGCTGCTGGATACCACTATCTTCTTGCTTGTTCCCGATCGTCTGAAACATAACACAGTGTGAAATGGAAATTGTAATAGACTGCAGATGTGGAGTTAATACCTATGACGATGACTGCAACAACTAAGGTGGGGGACTTATTGGTAACTCTCCTCTGGCTTTAGAGCATAGGAGCAAACAAACTGCATTAATGTTTTATACAGCATTGTCCACACAATACTACATGGAAGTGTGTGATTTTGCTAATAAGGCCGATTTCAGGCTGTTAGTCCCTTTAGTAATTTAGGTGTTTTACGTGGTCCTTCAAGTCCTTGTAGGTCTCATAAACGTCTTTGTGTTTTGCACAATATGGTCATTACAATACAATGTCAATGGCAATCATCGTTGCAAATTTAATCATCTTTATGCCATTAGTTAATGCAGTTTGTAGTATATTTTTTGTGTTACAAATTTCAATCTCCTTGTTCAAAAAGTAAACTAACTTTCAAAATCCAACCCAAAAAGAAAACACTGACCCAGATTCTGGTCTTCGAGATGGTGTAGACACAGGAAGCACTGGGGTGCCTGGAACACCCCCCCCTGTGCCGAAAACAATTCAGGACATCAATGATCAGAATCAGAAAGATCAACAATGAACAAAGCTGTCACACAATGTACAGGTCATAGGACAGCACTTTGACATATGCACCAAGTATAATGCAAACCAATGTTTTACTTATATCATATAAATTCTGGTCAGAAATGACTGCGGCACATTGAAATGCATGAATGAATAATGACTGAGAGGACATGGAATTGAAAGAGACAAAAGGTGATCATAGAAATGTCATATGTGTTCTAATGTTGAATAAGTTCAAGTCTGAATGCCAAGGCTAAATATGAAGTGTCTGACAAAAAGAAATAAAGAAAACCTAGGCATTCACAGACCTGCAGAGAGGGCACAGCATTGGCCCTAAGCCTTTTCCTTTTGGCTGCCTGGCTGGAGAAGGCATGTGATGGAAAATGTGCCTAGCACACTCTATGCCTCGGCTTGAACCCACTGATACCACACACATGAAGCCATTCCTGTTGGTGGCCTTGTTGAGCTGGGAATCTGAAAGGATCACAGTAATTGGGAAAATTGAATACTATACAATACAATGGACATCTACTTCAAATGAGTAATACAAACTGAAAATATCTGCCCACAGGGTGTGCATTAATCACTGTGCTAAGTGGTGATACATCAAGAGTACACACTACAGACATCTCGGTTCCTGAGCATGTCTGACACATCTTGAAATGCTTGTCACACCAAAAATAAGTAATAGAAGCTGAGGCCACACACTCATGAACTTTGCCAGCTGTGAGCATGGTGCATAGCTGCCACCAAATCTAGTTAAGAGTAGGTAAATTTAGCATTTTGAAAAGTGGCAGCAGCATAGCAATATCTAAAGGACGCGTGTAAATCGACTCATGAGTGGATCTACACAGAACAGCTCCTCTGCTTAAATCCACTACGAAGTGGATTTACACAGGATGCCACCCCTGTGTAAATCGACTCAGATCTGAGTTGATCTACACGTAAACGCACTGTTGTGTAAATCCACTTGTGAGTAGATCTACACAAGTGTGGCTTCAGGAGTAAATCGACTCAGATCTGAGTGGATTTACACAGGAGCGCCGTTCTGTGTATATACACTCCGGAGTGGATTTAAGCAGAGAAGGTGTTCTGTGTAGATCCACTCATGACGTGATATACACAGAAGCGCCATTCTGTGTAATTCCACTCGCGAGTGGATTTAAGCAGAGAAGGTGTTCTGTGTAGATGCACTCATGACGTGATATACACAGAAGCGCCATTCTGTGTAATTCCACTCGCGAGTGGATTTAAGCAGAGAAGGTGTTCTGTGTAGATGCACTCATGATGGATACACACACCTGTGAATTACATCGCGATGTGATCTGCGCAGGCGACAGAGCATATTCAACGCAGCGAACTGGCGAACTGATCTATGACTTACCGAATAAGGGAAAGGTGTGATTTCAGCAATCAAACGCGCACAAAAGCTGAAAATATGCATTTGCCCATGCATAGCTCATTTTTGCATCACTAAAGCTACACATCTGCGTACTTTATTGAGAACATACCGTCCAGAGAAGCGAATATATATATGCATACATATATATATATATATATATATATATATATATATATATATATATATATATATATATATATATGTACATATACAATATAGTATGCGTGCGTTTGCGCGTGTACATGTGTATGTACCAGGAAAAGTAGATGCTGAACTTGTCACATTGCTTACAAGGCACGCCATGCAGCATCGCATGCTTGCCACACGGTGCTTTGCAGTGTGCGGCTTGTATCCAGTCTTGGTAACGGGTGAGGGGTGCGGAGGGCTCCTAAAGGGGCTCCTTGATGGTGAAACGCCCCCCCCCCCCCTCTCATACACACAAATTCGTCAGCTTTGGCCGATGCATTTCCACCGGCATGATTTTGTGCGTGTTTTATGCATTTCTAACTTTCTGCACTGGGGCAAGAAGCCATGAAAGGTACTGGAAAGCAATTTGCTGTCTGTATTTTGTTGCAGGCAATAATTGACAGAAGGGAGGTGATGTTAGATGACATGCAAAATAACGCATCGGTGTTATTCCTTTTAAATTGTTAAGCTGGTTCTATCCAAAGGGATAGACCTTAGACCTTTGCCAAGCTTTTGTTCTGAGCTCTGCAGAGATATTCATGACCCCGTGCACGTTGAGTGTAGATGGAAATGGTGTCAGCAATGTTTTCACCTTGGCTAACCCATGTTCGCCTAGGGATGTTAAACGTTCTGTCAGAATTTATTAGTGATGCAACTTATGTAACAGTGTTTAGGATACGCACTTCGTCTTAGAAGCCTAATCCAATGCTGTGATTACATCTCCTCATGCAGTAATGCATCTTCGCCCAGAGTTTCTATGTGGCAAGTGTATCCTCGATTTCAGAGGTCTTGTTAGGTCACTTCCGGTGAACCTAGGGTCTTGTAATTAACATCTGTAATAGTACCGAGCATTCAAGGGGCAATGGCAAGAAATGCCCGACCCTAGCCATTATATTTTCGAATGGGACTACTTGAAGTCATCTTTGGAAAAACAGACTTAATTTAAGTAGCGCTCCCCTGGGCGGGAAAATCGCAATGATTGAACGTTGAATAGCGCGGTAGGTAAACTGGAGAAATGTATGGAAGACTTCGTTAAGTCCTCACTCAAAAAACAAAAACAAATTGGAGCCGAAATAGGCAAACCCAAACTTGGGCCGTACGTACGTTCATGCCTATGCAACCTACATTCTGAATGCAATTCGGTACCTTAACTGAACCTAGTACTGTGAAGTAATCCAACTGAAGCTACTCAACTGATTCACACGCGGTACCAATATGGGTGTGTTTGACATCCAGATCAGTCTTTCGTCAGTAAATTCGAAGTCGCTCAACTTGGTGCTAACTTAAAACCAAGAACTTCACTTCTGCGTAACGTTATGGGAAACGCTTTTTAGGTTTAGGTCACTTGCAGACATCTGTGCCGAAAGAACCTCACGGTTAAAGAGAGTCATTGGCGGTACCTGATGAGGGTACCGCCAATAATAAAATGCGATAAATATTCTCTTCGCTCTTCTATCTTCTACCTTCGGCTCTTCACAAATATGTCTTCCGTGAAATCGCTAGCATTTTCGTAGGCACATCAGCTTTGCCTGCTTTGTAAAAGACACACGATAAAGTTGTGTGCATGCAGCTGTCGTCCAACCTCGGTACCCATGATCCTCGGTCACTCAACCGAAAACGCCCTGGACGATGCCGCTGAGTGAGCTGTACTCGGATTGGGGTTAAGCACGTCGTGGCCGTCACCTTCGTAAACTTCAGCCGTGCCTTTAATGTATTAACCATGGCGTAGATCCGATAAAGCTGCAGTGATATTTTATTGATCCGAATTGGTTTGGGAGTTACCTTGCTGGTCGAAGGTGGATGGTGAGAAGCGGAATCTTTCTCTTCTGTCGATTTACGGTGTCCCTCAGCGATCCTTGGTTGACCCTATCCTCTTCAGTATTTTTACGAATGAATCTCTATCTTACCTCCTTCACGAATATCTAGTATCCTGTGCCGACCACACCCAGCTGCTGGACTCTACACATCCAGACCAACCATCCGTTTTGAAATCACGACAGGAGGAAACCATTCAAGTAGTTAATTCCTTCTTCACATCTAACTCTGTTAAAATGAAGCCGACCAAAAGAGCTATTCTTCCCGGCACTCCACAATCCTGAAAGGAAACCTTATATGTTCACCTGGGCAGTGCGTGACACCAAATGAGCCCTTCGTCGCCCATGAAGGTGCTGGGAGTCCCATTGCAGGTACCTTTTTTTGGGAGATGCTCACATCCTACGTTAAAATGCGCAGCCCCATCCTTTTCCGCTTGCATAAAATCCGCCACAACCAACCATATTGGCTGTTTGTGACGAATCACAATGAACAAATTCCACCACAAACCACAATCAACAGATTCGTCACCCGAGGTTCGTAAATCTATCATCCAGTCCCATGTTCTCATCTTCTGTGCTGCCTCTCGGTCTGGGGTGTGGCTGCAGCGCATCACCTAAATAGAGTGCAAGGGGTGATTAACCGTGGGGCCAGGATCGTCACCGATGCTCCTCAGCAAGATCCAATGGCGGCGACCGTTCAAGCGCTTGGCTGGCGCGGTGACCTAGTCATTCCCCGTGGCAGCATCGCTGTGTTCAGGGCCCTTAATGACTCGTGGGTTCCTTTGGAGATTCGGTCCCTGTTCACCACACGTACAGCTTTACGCCAGCGTGTCACCCGCGCGGCAGCGATGGGCCCCCTGGGTCTGCCAGCCCTCACCTATCGACAGCACGCAGGTCTTTTCGTATTTACGCGGCCTTATCCCGCTGCCGCCGACCACCACCACCTCTTACGCCTACAATGTGTTTTGCGTCAGTCTGAGCGATGTAGACTGCCCTGTTGTGTAATCATTGCTTGTTTACCGCTTCGCGACATATTCTGACGGCTTAAATTTTGATACATAATTTATTGTTGGCCAAGTTGTTAGAACGAAGGGACGATTGATATCGTGCGAATCTGGTCGCGCCGTTTTAAAAAAAAAAAATATTGCACCGATACTACTGCTGCAATCGTACAGAGTCAAACAACCCAGCTGTCTGAATAATTTGTGATTGAAATGAGCGTGGACATGACCCAGCCACGCATTCGCAATGAGAGGTGTCGTTAGAACTGCCAGTGGTCTTGCGCATACCGATGAAACTCACAAGACATTTGATGGATTTCCTCAGGCGTATTTGTGGATACGTGGCATTTTCACAACGCGCTATAATCACTTCAGCAGAGTTGGTCAGCTTTAAATGTATTAAAGTATTGAGGTAAATGACCTCTCTGGGATAACCACAGCCTTGGAAGGTACACGACATGCAGTTCTGGGCACGCAGCCGTACGAGCTGATCACAGATGCATGCAATGAGAAGTAGCAACCATGTCACAACAGCGCAGGTATTTTGCCGCATTGGA